TATTTCTGCAGGATTTATCAATGGTCACATGAACACCGAGGTAGATCATAGCATTTCCTCTTCCTGTAGAACACTTTTAAGTGGCACTTGCATGCCACGAATATTATTTGTAACTTTAGAGGTCAGACTCAGTACTGACCAGTACATGGAGTGCTTCAGTACCTGTGGAATTATTAAAGATCACAAAAAAATCGTGAATATACATGCCCATTTCTGACAACGAGACCATGCAGCAGTGGAAAGTGATTGGTGCGAGGACACTGCCCTGACACACTCTTGCAGCTCAAATTTTAGCCCAAATATTATCATAAAACAATCATTGCAACTTTCCTTTGAGCGAGGTACGACCATCACTTCAGAATGACAAATCCCATCGAGCACAAACAGCGTCTATTCGGTCCGTTGTGCCTGCACTGGTTCTTCAAACGAGCATCATTACTTGGAATTAATCTCCTGCTTTCCACGACGACCCCCCTTATCATTGTATGTTATCTATGTCCAAATAACTATCCAATGCGTTCTTGAATGCGTCAAATGAAGCTGCCCTTGTCACAATTCCAGACTGCGCATTTCACTCAATCTACGTGAGAAGTGAAAATTACTTTAAATATTCGCCCTCTCCACTTTGTTCCCTTTACAAACAGGAAGAACTTTTACCTATCTACTCTATTCATCCCGTTCATGATTTTTCAAAGTTCTACCAAATCCCTGTAAGCTTTCATCTCAGAATGGTCCAAAATTCTTCAAACTGTCGTCATAACCAAAGCTCCTCATCCCTGATTTTCTTTTTCAATTCTGCACTCTCTACAATGCATTTGCATCGTTCCTATGATACAGTCATAACTGGACACAATCCTCCAGATCAGATTTGCAACAGGAGAGATTTCCCTGTTTCCATTCTCTTTAAGAATGCAGTGATTGCTCAAAAGAAAACACAATAAAACGATAACTTTACAGCAAGGGAACACTTTATCACGTCTCTCATGATTTTACCATTTTTTCACAAAGGCTGTAATTATACCAGTTCCTCTGTCTTTGTACAGCCGAACTGATCACTGGTGAGCAGATTGTTCCTGTTTAAGTGACACTTCAAAGCAATGCTGAGAATAAAATTCATGGGTTCATTTGTGATTGAAATTACTGAAGAGACATTGATTTGCTAAATTGATTTTTTTTTTCACGTTCTTGTGGAATTTACTGCCAATTGTCCACATTGTTGCAGAGATGGCAGGTAACTGTAACTATGATGGCAAACATGTCAATTGGCACGGTAAGTACGAGAACAAAAGATGTCACCTCATTTGAAGCAGGCGAAGATGGTTTAAATATTTAATTCACTTCTGGATGAAGATGATTACAAATACCTTGTCATTTCCACCTGTGTTCTAGGCTCCATGATCATCAAAGTTGGGTATATTTGTGAAACATGCTTCTCCCCTTAATTTCTTAATTGTCCATCATCATTAATAACTGGATGTGAGTGCATTGCAATGATTTGATGTGATTTGATTCGGGATTGCTTTGCTCTACCTATCTAAAGCTACTTTGAAATTTTGATAAGCATTCGGTTGTAGTGTCGCCAGAGAAAATGGACACCAATTGGCTGAATTTTGATTTCAGCTACTGCCACCACTGGATTATAATATTCTAGAATCAAACTTGGTTTGATAGATCATTAGTTTTTATTATTAATATCGTGGTTAGTCAATGAAACATTGTCAAACATATCTGAAGATATTCTTTAACGAGAGAAAATAAGTTTATTCCACACATGTAAAAGAGCGTAAGAACTATATATTGATTATATGCACATTGTATTAGTTGCAAACATTATAACAGAAACATCAAAAAAATTCAACCTGAGTTCCAACATCAACCACTAGAGATATTTAAATCCAGAGAACTACAAACTATCTCAACTGTTTTAGTTATGACATCCCTTCAGTGGACCGTGGACACCATTCGTTAATTTCTTTCTGAGAATGCTGACATGAAGAATTAATAAATCTGAGGGCCTAAACTTTCATAATTCTAATAATTGCCAATTTCTATCCAATCTAACCTTGTCTGGAAGCTTTACAAACTAACCAGTTCTGCTGAGATAGCTGGCTTTCTTCCCAACTACCCTGGAGTACGAGAGGATACCAAAACTTATTTCAGAAATGAGCTGTGCTGTTTTCTACACTGAGTTGAAAAGTCTTCTCTTGAACTCAATCCCTGACTCTTCTGAAGCGACCAGAAAACATAGCTTGTAGCTTTCATGTGTTAACATTGACTGCTATAAATTGAAATGTACAACTATCTTTTGATTAACTCCGTAGAGGTCCACAAGCACTTGCCGCCTGATCAAAATAGAATATAGCTCAGTGTCACAGAATGTTTGCAGGCAACATTTTTCAACCTTAAAGGGAATGACCAATATCAATCTGGGTCTTTTTTAAACTTATTCTGGTTCAATAATGATTATAATGCACGTTAAAAACGTTTTGCCATGGTTGTAATGCACAAAAATTCTTTCAAATCTGGAAGGGTCACAGCCCCTTGGAAATTAGCGCTGCAACAGAGTTGTTAAAAACAGTTTACTACACAAAAGTTAAGCGAGTGTTAAATTGGATAGAAAGAACAAAGATCAAAGAACAATACAGCACAGGAACAGGCCCTTCAGCCGCCAAACCTGCGCTGATACGTTTTACCCTTCCATACTGAAAATATCTTCATTTACAGAATCCGTATCCCTCTATTCTTCTTCGTATTCATCTGTTCATCCAGGTCCAGGGTAAAGGATGGATTTGTCAGTATGACGCAGAGAAAAAGAGCGTTTTCAGATTGTCTAGCTGTGTATAATACTTACAATCTATAGCAAATAAAAAATGGATTTTGGCCAATGAATGAGTATAGGTAAATTTGCCTAAGACCCTGGAAAAAGTAAGAATGTCTGTTGACAAGATAATGCACAAAGTCTGCAAAGGACCATAGAGAAATGAAGCGAATAAGCAAAAAAAAAGTAGCAGAATGGGCACGATGTGGGATAACATGGAAACGTCAACTTTACAGGAAGAATGGAGAATCAGTGGAAAATTTGAGTGAAGTTACCGAACTTAAGTGGACAGATAGGTCGAGGTGATCTGCTGAAAGTGTTACATAATATTGAATTAGCTGGCAAATGTAGCAAGTGGTTAACAAGGCAAAATAAATTATTGATTATTATGAAGGAACTAGTAATAAAAGCAAGGACATTTCACTTCAGTTAGACATGATCTTCAACATCTTTAAAGCAAAAGCTCGTGAAATAGACTCATGAAGAATTCTCTTGTGAGATAATGTCTGGGTTTGAATTTTTATATATTGTCCACATTCAGATTCAGTAAGGTTGGAAAATAGTTATGTTCAAAATGGAGGGAGACAGAAAACAGCCATCTGTATATCAGCTGACGAATATCTGTGGTAGGGAAGGTTCTTGCAGCTAGTATTCATGCATCATAATACACATCGAAAGACAACTTCAAAATCAAAGTAATCAGGAAATAAATCAAAATGGCATTGTGAAGGAGAAATCTTGGTAAAACAGGTTATTAGATGTCTCTGAGGAAGTAATATTTGCTGTGGATAGACAGGACTGATTGATTAACTGTTGTCGCATGCATGGAGATAGAGTGAAAAGTGTTGTTTTGCATGTTATTCAGGCAGATCGCACCTTACAAAGTGCATCACGGTAGTAGACCGGAATGCAGAATACAGTGTCACAGCCACAGAGAAGATGCAAGAGACAGATCGGAATTAACATGTGAGAATTCCTTACAAAAGTCTGCTAACAGCAGGGAAGCAGCTGTTCTTGAATCTATATTAGGAAAAACTCGATGTAATGTATTTTTTTTTCCCAAAAGGCATTTGATCAAGTAACACATCAAATATTATTGCAGAAAATGAAACCTCATGGTTCAGGAAGTAACACATTGGCATGGATAATGGATTGGCGAACTAACGAAGAAGAAAGTCTTTTGCTTATTTAATGCTTACGGAATGCAAGATAGAATAAGTGGTGTACCAAACAGATCAGTGCAGGTGCCTCAACTTTCTGCAATTTGCAAAACAACACAGACCAAGAAATGTAAGGTATCCTTGCTAAATTAGCTGGTAACATTAAACTCGGCAGGAAAATAAGCTGTGGAGAGGACATAAAGTTTAAAATAGGTAAATAGACAAAGAGTTGTCAAGTGGTGCTTAATGTGGCAATATGTGATATTTTATATTTCAAAAGGTAAAATGAAGGAAAGAGAAGTTTATCATCTGAATATCGAGATATTACAGCGGCCTGAGGAGTAGAAGTTTCTACGTGTGCTGTGCATTCTTCTCAAAATGTTAGATTGCATTTACAGCAAGCAATTACTTACAGCATTGTGAGTCTTTTTTTGAATATCTTCCTGAAAAGATCGTTCGAGAAGAATCTGTGATGATAAAAGTGAAAAGTTTCTCCTGAAGTCACTGATGAAATGTTATCGTGGATAGGAGGCAATAGAGATTTCAGACTGCAATCACGCCAACTCTGATGAAATTGAATGTCGAGGCAGGCATGAGGGGCTGAATAGGTTACCGCTGCTCCTTGTTCGAATATTCCATAAATTTAATTAGAACTTTATATTATCACCCATGTATCATCATCATCATCATCATAGAATCCCCACTGTGTGGAAACAGGCCCTTCGGACCAACAAGTCCACACTGATCCTCAGAGCATCCCACCCAGACCCATCCCGTATAACCCACCTAATCCACACATCCCTGATATATCAAGAATTTAAATAACTGAAAATATTTCTACACCTAGGATATTTTGCAAAAACAATGTAATTCTTTTCGTGACAAGCAGTTACCAAACTACAATACCCAAACTGAAAATAAAAAGTTCCATAGAAGGGCTGTGTTTGTTGCGATTAATTTGTTAACACAGGTTTCTGAACTTAAACTGAACAGATTAAATTTCTAAATAGCTCAGCCTTTATTCTAATATTAACAGAAATCACAAAACAGCATTTGAACACTGCATTTCCAACGTTCTCGTCCGAAACTGATAATACATAAGTGGAGCAAGAATTCCAGAGAAAGCATTCGAATAAAGTTTGATTTGAGGGGTGGGGGATGCATACAGATGTATAAACTGCAAATTAATTGCATTACACATGGACTTATTGCATTATTCCTCTGTTTCACGAATATTAATATCATCCAGAGGCAATGTCGGATGACACGGTTTTAAGAACAAAAAATCGCTCTTAGAGGATTCGGGAGAGAGACAAACGGTGTAATTATATGATTCACGAACAGGCAGAGTTTGAGCAGAATCTAAATAATTTAAATTTGCTTTTCCGACGACTCTACACTGAGAGGCATCGGCTGAATTCCTTTGTCTGTAACAACTGATTCTGGACGTGTAACAGCATGTATTCCTGTCTCGTTTGCATTTCACAGCGACCAGAAAAACTATTATGGAGAGAAATATGCAGGAAGTTGATCCTAAAATTATGATCAATAGAAAATTTAAATCTGAAAATAATTCAGGATTTTTAGGTTCACTTTTTTGTTCAAAGGTATTTTCGGTAATGTTACCTTGGACTGTCAACAGAATTGAGACTGTACTCGAGAGACTCGGCTGTCCATTGTCCTTGACCAAAACTAAGAGCGTCTGTCTGAGAGCATCTTGCTCCCCAAAATTTCGCGTTATTCTAATTTCCCCAGAGGTATATCCGACACTGAAAATACTGTGATCAGTAGCTTCTATGAGCTTATACGAAAGTCGTGCATTCTGTCCAGAATCTGCGTCAGTAGCAATTACTTTGGTCACCAAGGATCCGGGACGTGCAGATTTTGATGCAATCACAATCGAACTGTTGTCGTTTGAAGGTGACAAAATGACTGGGTCATTGTCGTTTTGGTCCAGAATAATAATATTGACGAGAGCAGTGCTGGTGAGTGATGGAGTTCCATCATCCCGAGCCTGAACTTTGATCTTAAATTTTTTCTGCATTTCATAGTCAAAAGAGCGTAGCGCGTAAATGCACCCACTTTCGGAGTTAACACTAAAGTGACCAGACGCAGAAATTTCAGGTATGAAACTGTCCGATAAGAAATACGATATCTCGCTATTCTTACCCAAATCCGGGTCTAAAGCGGTGACAGCAAATATTGATGCAGCTGGAGCATTGTTTTCCATCAAGAACACATTATATAACGGCTGTGTAAACTGCGGTGCATTATCATTTATATCAGAAACCGAAATGTGGATAAATTTGTTTGTGGAAAGAGGGGGTGACCCAGCATCCCGGGCCGAAATGGAGATGTTATAGAAAGGAGACATTTCTCGATTCAGTGAGTCACTCACTACGAAATTGTATTGCCTGTTCGAAGATTTTTGGAGTTTAAATGGGATATTTGGTGGCAGCTGACATTGCACGTGTCCATTTTCACCTGAATCACGATCCATTGCATTTATTATGGCGATCACAGTACCGCTTGCAGCATCTTCACGTACCTCAATGGGTAGCGAGTTTATTTTTAACTCCGGCGCATTATCATTAACGTCAAGTAATTCAACAAGAACCTCGGCGCGCCCAATTAATGCAGGTGTACCATTGTCCACAGCTTCTACATCAAGCTGGTAAACCTTCTCTTCTTCATAATCCAGTGACCCTTCAACTCTGATCTGCCCAGTTGCGGGGTTCAAATTGAACAATTCACTCACACTGTGAGAAACATGATTGCTGAAATAGTACTTTACTTCACCATTTGATCCTTGGTCTAAATCAACAGCATTTAGTGTCATGATCAAGGTACCTTTAGGTAAATTTTCCAATGCGTTGATTCTATATATCTGATGATCAAATACTGGGGCATTATCATTTCCGTCCAGTACAGTGATGATTATTTCTGCAGTACCAGATCTACGAGGAGTCCCGCCGTCTATGGCCGTCAGTATCAGATGAAAACTAGAGTGTTGCTCACGGTCTAAGAGGTTTTCTAACACCAGCTCTGCAATTTTACTGCCATCGCTTCTGATCCGAATCTTCAGGCCAAAGTGCTTATTTTTGCTGATTTCATAATTACTCACCGCATTTGTACCTACATCTGCATCATGCGCTTTCTCCAGTGGGAAAAGAGCTCCTGCTGTAGTTAACTCAGATATTTGTAAAGCGTATTTCATTTTGGGAAATCTGGGCGAGTTATCATTTACATCCAATATCTCCACGTCGACACGATGCATTTCCAATGGATTTTCTACCGCTATATCCTGAGAAACAGAACAAGTCTCACTTCGTCCACAGAGAATTTCCCTGTCGATTCTCTGGTTCACAACCAAAATACCATCCCCCACGTTCACCTTCAGTAACTGCATTCCGTCATCAGAGATGAGCCGAAATTTGCGAAGTGACATCTCGCCAATACTTAGCCCTAAATCATCTGCGATATTCCCAACAAAAGCACCGCGCTCCATTTCTTCGGGGATCACGTAATGTATTTGGGCGAAAATTAGATCTGAAACGCAAGTCAGGAATACGAAATAGAACAGCCGGTTGAGTCTTATCGCCATTGTTCCAGATTTATCCAATTGTATATCTGCCAAAATGCTGACCAACCTCGTTGTTTTACATCGCTCTCTGTGAAATGAAATAAATTATCTGATGAAGAAAAATGGCAGCATTGAAACGATAAACGTGAAATCTCGAACTAAACAATCTTTCGGTGCAAAATGGTTTAGGTGCGGGCGACTTTGTCCTGCTCTTTGCTTCTGCGCTGAGTTTCCTGTGATAGGAGTCGGGGTTGGGGGTGGTGGGAGGTGGATCTCTTGCAACGTTTGGTTTTCTTATTGGTAGACAGCGACACAAAGAGTCCTTACTCATTATTGCACCAAGCATTTCTTAAAGCAGAATTGCTCCCAAGGAGGTACAATAACAATAAATCGTATATTTAGTAGTGCGCAATTAAAATCCCCTCGCGCTGGTTCATATCTTAAAAGTTTTTTTTCGCGAAGGTCAATTGTTTGCCATTGAAAATCAATTATGTAGTTTAGAAATAAACTGTCTTTAATCCAGGTGAAATAATTTAGGGGCCGTCAATCTTATTATTTAAAAACTTTCATTCGTGCTTGTTGGGTTAAATCTACCTGATTCAAGGATCTGAAAAGTGTTGAAAAACCATTCTTTGATGCGGGTGTATCATTTCGAAATGCATGTTTCTGCTGACTTTAATTATTAATTATTAATTTTAATTATTGGGCGGGCCCAATATGAAGACAACAGTTTTTTTTTCTTGCTGGATTGTGTTTTTGTTGAACTGTTTTTTCTACATTTAAAATCAATCTTATGAGGTGAAAACTGACAAGGAAACCCATTACATTAATCCAGAGAATGTTGACATTAATAGATTTTATGGCAACTCCCAACTATGAAATTTATTAAAGGTGGTGCCCATACGGCGTTTGATGCAGTACATGTCTAATGTAATCAGTATACAATTTGCATGCAACTTTAGGATAGTTTATTCTGTTAATCACGAAGCAACTGTTAGATATGATACATAATTTAATTCAGGGAGAAAACAAATATACAACCCATGATAAATGAGGACAGTATAAATACTCGAAAGTTGTTCTATAGAACGGAGAGGAGGTGCTTCAGAAACCCTATGATTTAGAGTGCTGGGTTATTCATCCCTGATTCTTCGCAATTTTTGGTAATTCAGTGATTGGAACTTTCTTTACTTTTCCTTCGAATATTTGGCCCATTGCAAAGAAGATGATGTCTCTTTTCCCTGCAACCGCTCTCGCTCTCACAGTCACTTTCCTTCTTCACCTCAATATATTTCATTTTGTAAACTGGAAATCTATACTGTGTCAATCACCAATCTGAAAATTTTAAGTCAATGACTTGGACTGCTACTCAAGATGCTAGGATGACCATTGTGACTTGCCTGCCCGCACTGAACAGTAGTTTATTTTTTTTAAAAAAACAGTAAATTAATTTCCTCTCAAAACGATGCATTGATAGTAGAATACCTTAGTGGCGTATCAGAAATTGTTGCGAGTTCACTAGGCCTTCATAACCTCAGTATTTCACGTGATTCTTGAGCCTTTTCCTTTGATTTCATGTGATAGCTATATGCAAAGATAGTTTCTACTGTAACAACAGTTAAATTAAATCACATGCCATACAGTAAATAACAAGAAAACTCCGCTTTGAAGGGAAACTAATTTCCAACACTGATCTCTTTGAGAAGGAAAAATGCCTTTAGACATTCACAACTAATCTATCCAGTTTTAAAGTGCAAGGTTGATTTCCTAATATTTTGATTACCTTTCACAGAAAACATACCAAAAGTATCAGACCAGTTGATATCAGCTACTTAACATAAGCCAACATTCTTAATGAAGGGATCTAGGTGACATTGTATACACAGTCGTGCCAATTGTTCTCTCCTAGCATTCCAGTTTTTTTTCATCTGGACGATATTAACTAGATGTGATCATGATGTGTTTATCATTTAGAGGATTTATTTGAAGTACAAGGATTGTGGGAGGGTTCGGTGGCCAAATGGAGAAATAGAATAAATGCAGCATGCCGACTGGAGTCGTTTTCGCTTACACTGTGACTTCAGAAGTTTGGACAAAAAAAGTCTTCCTTTTACATTTGATTTAGAATGTTAGAAACAGAAGGCAGGTTTCCAGATGGGATAAATAGCACAACCAAACCATTTTTCATTGTCCTAATATTAACTAGTAGGTCCGTATCTGGACATTCTGCATATGAAACTCAGGGTTGACACTTTCTGAACATTCATGCCACCAGTGGGTGATTCTAGGTGTCGGATGAAGACAAGTCGCAGCACAACCCAGGGTTTTTCAACAGCACATGTATGGCACTCCTCTTTCAGAGCAAAGGGTAGTAGAACCGGAACTGTTTCATGTCTCATAATCATGTATGCACTCATGAGTCAGAGTGACAACCAATCTACTTATTGCTCCTTTCCCAAATTTTGGGAGCCTGTTTCTTCTTGCTTTGTTCTCCAACAGCATTTCTCTGCATTTTTTTCCCCAAATATTGAGTTGCTGGATTTCTCCCTCTATTTTCCTGGTTCTACTTCGAAACTATCCAAACATCATCTGAGGACTTTCGATAATCATTGGCTCTATTTGGTACATACAGTTACAACAAAAGATTATGCTTGCACTTGAAAGATTCTGATTTTTCAGTTCACCTGTACCTAATTGTGGAGTTTTCTTGTTAACTATTTCCCCCACCCCTTAGTTTTCAGCGGTCCAGTCACACATGCGCCTTACTTTGCATTTATTGTAATGACCTCTCACCAATATTACTTTGATATAAAAGTCAGTTCCTATTCATTTTCATTGGCGGTCCCTTGCAGACAAGGATGACTCTCTTCCCTTCTCAGGGTGAGTCTGTAGGAGACTGCACAGATCAATGTGGCTGCTGCAGGCTTTGTTACACTTGGGACAGAAGGTGCAGGAAAAGGTGGGTGGGTCGTAAATGTGGCAGCACGCTCCTTTTGCTGTTTTCATCTGGCTTACACTTTTTCCCAATGGCAAATCTTGAAGTGCAGAACACAACAGTCTTGGGCCAGTGATTCCCAGATGTGTGTGGGAATGCCTCACTTCACCAGTGAGGTCTTAAGGGTATCACTGATGCACTTCGTCTGTCCTCCTGGGGCTCGCCTGCCATGTCAAAGCTGGGAATAGAGCACCAGGTTGGGGATTCTCATGTCAGTCATGCGGATGATGTATTAAGCCCATCGTAGCTGATCAAGGGTAGTCAGTGATTTGCTGTTGGGGATATTGACCTGGTCAAGGATACTGGTTCTGGTGTATCTTTGTTACCAGCTGATTCACAGGATCTTGTGCAGGCAGCATTGGTGGTTCTGCTCAAGCAGTTTGAGGGGTTTGCTGTAGACATTTCAGGTCTGGGAGCCATACAGGAAGGAGGGAACCACCCCACAGATCTGTAAACCGAACACCCTTTTCCTCAGGCGATTCTGGATCCCTTCCTCTACAGCTGATTTGTTCAGCAGGACGATTCTGAAGTATTGGAAGTGATCGACATTCTCCAAGGCCTCTACGTGGACCTTGATGATCAGGGGTTTGCTCCACAATGCCAGGCCATGTTGGTTGAGGGCTTCATTTTGTTAATGTTCAGGATGAGAACCGTGCTCTCATATTCCTCCATAAAGGTGTTGACGATGGTCTGGAGTACATAATCTGAGACTGCACATACGCAAGCATCATCTACATGGGGATCTTGTCAGTGATGAGGTGAAGTTATGCAGTGAGGTAGATCGAGAACAGTGTTGGGACAATGACACAGCCCTGCTTGACACCATCCTGAACAGGGAATGCGTCAGTGGTGTAGCCATTTGTCATTTCTATGATTTCCATGATGCATGATGCCAAACTTCATGGCTCAACCTAAGTGAATAATGATGCTCCGTACTGCTTGCTGATTGACAGTATCAAAGGCATTTATAAGGTTGAAGAGCGCCATGTACAGGGGTAGGTTTTTTTTAACTCCATATTTCTCCTTCAGTTGTCATGTATCTAAATTCGTATCCATTGTGCCCCTCCATGGTTGGAAGCCACATTGCAATTTTGGGAGGCGTTCCTCAGCCACAGAGAGGAGACAGTTGAGGAGGACCTTGGGGATGACTTTTCCAATGGTTGATAGCGGGGAGATGCCCCTGTAGTTACCACAATTGAACTTGTTCCCTTTGCTGAAAATGCTCACAACGGTAGCATCTTGCAGCACTGCTGGGATGCTATCCTCCTTCCAGATAAGGCAGGCACCGGTGTAAAGCTTCAGCAGGAGCTCTTTGCCTCCACACTTTAATGCCTTCGTGGGGATACTGTCTGCTCCAACAGCATTGTTATTGTTAAGCTGGCAGACAGCAGATTTCTCTGCTTCCTACTGGACTGGGGTGTTGCTGACATCCATTCAATGATGCTCCGATCAACGTCAGACCACTGATTGATGAGGTCTCTGAAGTGCTCCCCCAGTGTTGTTTGATGGTATCGATCTTTGATAAGAGTCTCTCCATCCTTGGCCAACAGTGGGGTGGGGGCGTTGGGGGAGTGGGCGGTGGGTCGTGCTTTGGTACTTTGTCCGTAAGTGGTCTCAACAACACAGAAGAAACCATGCATATCATGGTTGTCAGCATTCGCTGGGGCTCCAGTGCTTTCTTCACCCACCCCGTGTACTTTATCTTGCAGGTTTGTTGTTGGACCTCGGCCTTCAGGTGCATTTAAGCCTGCCTTTTCTCTTCTGAGTTTCATCTGTTCTGAGGAAGTGTCAACGGACCCGAAATTTTAACTCTGATTTCTCTTCACAGATGCTGCCAGACCTACTGTGCTTTTCCAGCAACTTCTTTTTTTTTTGTTTTCTCTTCTGACTGCGGTCGTTGTTTTATGCTCAGAAGTGCCATGCTGTTCCAACATAATATTTTTAGATTTTCTGATCATTCTCATCTAACCAGTCTTGGTGTTTCCTTGTTCAGTGACTGACCAGGTTTTTTTTTCAGGTATTGATG